CCTGCTTTAGATCATTATTCCCCGGAGGCTGTTTTATAGGCTTAATTACATTTTACTTTCCAATATCTTATGAAACCTTTTATTCATAACTATTTATCAACTGTGAACCAACCTCTGTGTAAACACTTTCTTTGCATTATCTAGTCGTTAATCATTTTAGTAGTGTAATTGCTGAATATTGCCAGATAATTTAATAGGGATATTTTTGAACTGTGGTAATAGAACTTAATTATTGTAAATAAACAATTTAATTTCAGAGTTAAATTCTAGTAAATTAAACTTTATGTAAATCGTTATTTGTAAATGCTTATGTCTGCTATGATGTTCAAAATGATGGAATCATGGTTTCCCTTGCCCGGACGTGGGTCACCGGGCCCCCCCCCTGGAGCCAGGCCTGGGGGTGGGGCTCAATGGCGAGCGCCTGGTGGCCAGGCCTATACTCATGGGGCCTGGTCGGGCACAGCCCGAACAAGGCACGTGGGTCCCCCCTCCAATGGGCTCATAGGGGTTGGGTGCGATGTGAGCTGGGCAGTGGCCGAAGGCGGGGACCTTGGCGGTCCGATCCTCGGCTGCAGAAGCTAGCTCTTGGGACATGGAATGTCACCTCTCTGGTGGGGAAGGAGCCTGAGCTGGTGCGCAAGGTTGTGAAGTTCCGGCTAGATATAGTCGGGCTCACCTCGACGCACGGCTTGGGCTCTGGATCCAGTCTCCTTGAGGGGGGTTGGACCCTTTTCCACTCTGGAGTTGGAGAGGCGCCGAGCGGGGGGTAGGCAAGCTGAAGAAGGAGGCCTTTTTAGCCTGTGGGACTCCAGAGGCAGCTGACAGGTACCGGCAGGCCAAGCGGGATGTGGCTTCGCCGGTTGCTGAGGCAAAAACTCAGGTTTGGGAGGAGTTTGGCGAGGCCATGGAAAACGACTTCCGGACGGCTTCGAGGCGATTCTGGTCCACCATCCGGCGGCTCCGGGCGGGAAAGCGGTGCAACATCAACACTGTTTATGGTGGGGATGGGGTGCTGCTGACCTCAACCCGGGACGTTTTGGAGTGGTGGAAGGAGTACTTCGAAGACCTCCTCAATCCCACCGACACGCCTTCCAATGTGGAAGCAGAGTATGGGGACTTGGGTGGGGACTCCCCTATCTCTGGGGTGGAGGTCGCTGTGGTGGTTAAAAAGCTACTCAGTGGCCGGGCCCCGGGGGTGGATGAGATCCGCCCCTGGGGTAGAATGGTAGGGTAGAATGCTCTCTCCGGGTCGGGGATGGGGTCCTCCCCCAAGTGGAGGAGTTTAAGTATCTTGGGGTCTTGTTCACGAGTGGGGGGACGATGGAGCGGGAGACTGACAGGCGGATTGGTGCGGCGTCAGCAGTGATGCGGGCGCTGCATCGGTCTGTCATGGTGAAGAAGGAGCTGAGCCAAAAGGCAAAGCTCTCGATTTACCAGTCGATCTACGTTCCTACCCTCACCTATGGTCACGAGCTGTGGGTAGTGACCGAAAGAACGAGATCACGAGTGCAAGCGGCCGAAATGAGTTTTCTCCGCAGAGTGGCTGGGTTCTCCCTTAGAGATAGGGTGAGGAGTTCGGTCATTCGGGAGAGACTAAGAGTAGAGCCGCTGCTCCTCCGCATTGAGAGGAGTCAGATGAGATAGCTCGGGCATCTGCTTAGGATGCCTCCAGGACGCCTCCCTGGTGAGGTGTTCCGGGCATGTCCCACTGGGAGGAGGCCCCGGGGAAGACCCAGGACACGCTGGAGGGACTATGTCTCTCGGCTGGCCTGGGAACGCCTCGGGATTCCCCCAGAGGAGCTGGAGGAAGTGGCCGGGGAGAGGGAAGTCTGGGTTTCCCTGCTCAGACTGCTGCCCCCGCGACCCGACCTCGGATAAGTGGGAGAAAATGGATGGATGGATGTCTGCTAGTGATCTGGACACTGTGTGTTTTTCTGTTAATATAATTTTTTTTGCTTTCACGATTGCTCCCCACCACTTTGTTCTGGAGTTGAGTTACCTCCCTCAGGCTGATCACCTTCTGAATTGCCCATATATTTTCACATTCCACTGGCAACAATTAAAATTTTCACACGATGCCAAAACCACATATTATTATTATTATGTTCAGCAGGAATCACAAGCACTAATCTCCATGTCTGCATTTCTCACATGTGAGAAATCAGTGGACTCACTGATGCTAGGTGACCTTCACATGGCCGGATTCACAGCGATGTCTGGTCTGCACCATCTTCAGCAGAAACCAATGGCACCATCAGATGTAAGTGACGTCATTCAGTCTTCCTCACGTTTTACGCAATATACAGTACTGTGGAAACGTCTTAGGCGGTTAATGAAAGTGATGTTTAAAAGTGTTCATGCTTGTGTAAAACTATGATATTATGTATGTGAACTTGCACCAGCTTGCCCATTTTGAGTGTCACCCAGTATTTGCAGCAACCACCCAATGCGCTCATGTAGCTTTTGACTGGATCACTAGCATACCTTGTTTGTCTGTTCAATACTCCCAGAGCTATTTAACTAATTAAAGTAATTAATTAATTGAGCTGTTTGTGAAATTTAACGAATCCATGGCATGGCTGGGGTGCCCCTGAGGAGAGGTTTGGGAACTGAGGCGTTGTTCATCTAGCCGTCCAACAACAGAAATGTAACTTATTGGAGAACAGATGAAATTCTTGTTAGTGTTTTATCACTGTTGCTGCTAATTTGCATATCTTCTAATGTTAAATTGTCATTTTTTTCTCAGGAAATATATACTCACTAAATAGATAAATAGCATTTAACATTTTCTTTGACTGCCTAAGACTTTTGTACTGTGTGTGTGTGTGTGTAAAAAAATATATATATATATATAAATAAATGTGTTTCCATAGACTCGTTGAAATTTATCTTAAATTTCTAATTGAGGTTATTGAAAGTTGTTTATGCTGGAGTGAGAGTTATTATTATTTTTTCCAATTTAAGTTTGAACTCCTTCCGGTAAATACATTTGTTTTATTTGGATATAATGACAAAATGTTGGCAAGACGCAATTGCTGAGAAGCAAACCACTGTGTAAGTGCACACGCGGTCACCTTGACTGTGACTTGTCATCGACTACGGCGAGTCAGTGTGTTAGTGCACACGCCGTCACCTTGACTGTGACTTGTCATCGACTACGGCGAGTCAGTGTGTAAGTGCACACGCGGTCACCTTGACTGTGACTTGTCATCGACTACGGCGAGTCAGTGTGTTAGTGCACACGCCGTCACCTTGACTGTGACTTGTCATCGACTACGGCGAGTCAGTGTGTAAGTGCACACGCCGTCACCTTGACTGTGACTTGTCATCGACTATGGCGAGTCAGTGTGTAAGTAAACACGCGGTCACCTTGACTGTAACTTGTCATCGACTATGGTGAGTCAGTGTGTCAGTACCTAGGAGAGACAGGCAGGCGTGCAGAGCGGCCAGTAAAAGGTTCATCATGGCTTTGGCTGGGCTCGCTTATTGTTCCCAAGCACTCAAAGCTAGTGTCTGCCATAGCAACGAGTCATGAACCTTTATTCACTCTCTACGCTCACTTTACTCTTCTTCCTCCTGTTTGAAATGGAGAAGTCCATGCTTCATTGGCATGTTTTGTTTTGCTGGTGTGCCCGGCTTCCTTCATCCATTGGTTCAGGCCCCTCGAGTGAAATGTTGTTCCTCTCGGGGATGTGAGATTCAGGAACACAGTCTGTCTACATTCACCACATCCCTGCCAGACAAATGATGAGCACAGAGGAGTCCGTTCCAAGCTTGCAAATGAGATGATGGACCTTCTACAAGTTTGAATATTTATAAATGAAACTTAACAGGTCATTATACTGCAGTTTAGCATTCCTGGCAGCCAAACAGAGGAAATCAAAGAGGAAAAGCCTTCGTTTTTATTTTTTTTCCTGCTTTCCTTAAAGGCATAAACCTGGTCGAACTTCTGTTCACTAAATCTCCTTGATTAACAAAACCATACAAATTAAAATTTATGACTTGGATTCGCTTCGGCTCAAGTCAAGCTTCCTGTCTGTCTGCCAGAGGTTTTGCCACGATGGTCGAAGCATATTGTCATTAGCTAATGCCCATGTTTTGATCTAACGTAAACAGGAAGCTAGAATCTTCTAGCAACTGTATATTACAGACATATGGCTGGCCACTGTGACTTGCTCTGTTACGTTAGTGTTTGTGTAGGGAGTATTAGAAAGTGAGCATTAAGGAGATATGTAAAAGGGATGTCAGAATCTGTGAGAATGAATGAACACAACAGTAAGGATTCTTATGAGCGATAAACAGTAGGTCAATGCATCCTGGATCATACATCTGTGTTCCTGTAGTGATTTAGCACTTTGGGGATCTGTACAAAAACAATGACCCTATGCTGCCGCCCTCTCGGGACCAATAGGATCATATTTGGTTCTGCGAGGAATGGGTCTGCACTGTGGCTGAACCTGGACCTCATATGGTACAGATGGCCCACAGGACCGGGCCTTATGCGCTGCCTCAGGTTTTCATGTGGTCTGAGGCACCATGATGAGCTTTTTTAAAGCGGTCATCCTAACTTCCCTTGGCAGACAGAGAATGCGTTCTGCGATCTGGTTATTCAACCTCACTGTCGGCGTGTCCTGCTTTCAGGGAGCACGCTGCTTACGGGGCAACTCAAATATTGCATGCTAGGCAAAAAAAGGACAAAGGGAGGCCTCTTTATAGGACATGGACAAAAGTAATGAAAACATTGAGGGTTTCTTCTTCTGCAAATGCTCCTAATTGTATTGTAAAAAAAACAGCAGGGGTCTCAGATGCTTTCCAAGTCAAACTCTCCTCTTTACTATAGAATTTCAGCAGTGAAAAAGCGAAACCCAATAATGTCTGTCGATACAGCATGAGACCAGAGGATCCTCCCGTGACTGTTTTGTTTTCATAAATGGGTGCATCTGGAACACCAAGTCGATCTCTTTAAAGTACTGGACACAGTGATGACCACGGAAAAAACATTTTCACTGACCATCGGTTTGGTTATTTATTTTTGAGGTGTTCATGCTTTACTAAGCTTTAAAAAGTACATTCAGCTACCAGTAAAATCAAAATATTAAAACAATTTATCTGGAATTTAGGTTCAGGTAAGCAGTTTACAGAGGGAAAATAAAAGAAGAGAAAGTAATAATGTATCTAATATATCCACTATGAAGCGAAATATTTTATAATGCCAAATTATTTTACACAGTTACTATAGATTCCAAGAAAAACTTATGACAAAAAATATTTCCTCTAACATGGTAACGTCACAACCTGATTTATACATTAAACGTACAGATAATGAACCACATTATCGGTATGTATAAAGTTGTGGTGCATCAAATATTTATTATTGTCATATTTACACTAAGATTTTTAACATATTTCCAGTAATATCAAAATCAGATCTGCAACACTTTACTTAAGGCCATGTTTTTAGTAATATATAAATACATTCATAATGCATTATAAACATGGCTTTAAGCATTTATAAAAAGGCATGACACAGTAATGCCATGTTTATTAAGCATTATGAATGCTTTATGAAGCTCTCATCTATAATGCAGTTTATATACCTTTATAATGTAGTACAAAGCATCCTTAATGCTTATACCAAGCATTATAATGCAATATAAAGGTATCTATAGTGCATTATAGATTAAAACTTTCTAAAGCATTTATTATGTATAATCCATATGGCTATAATGTGTCATGCCTTTTAATATTTAGTCATGTATATAATACCTTTTGAATGCATTATAATACATCATGAATGTGTTTCTATATTACTAAAAACATGGCTTAAGTGTACTTATTAAATGCAGAATATTATCTGCAATCACAGAATGTCATCAATCCATTTTGTCATTTGTCTTAATATCTTTGCTTTACTGTATTTTCTAATTTTCCCCATTTCTTTTATATTCGAATACACAAACATGGAAAGTGCCGGAACATCTGTCAGGCAGCGTGTGAGGAAGAGGTGAAGAAGAGGTGCCTCAAAGGCACGTTTACATCTACATTCCAAAACCTGGTGACAGGATTTGTCTGACGGAGCTGCGTTTGTGGCACTTTGTGGATCAGCCCTGCTCTCCCTCGCCTATTTCACCTCAGGCCCAAAGATCTCGGAGCATTCGGAGATGGTCAGCTCCACTATCTGGTTCTGGTACACCATGTTGACGGCCATGTTTCCATAGTCCAGTTCAGGCCAGAGGAGTGTCGGTCCAAACACGATACCTATTCCCTGAGTGGACATCAGATTCTTCGATGACTTGGTCAAAATCCTGACAAAAGATGAAAATATTTACACGTTTACACATTTTCCTCTCTTATTGGCTTTCATCGATATGTAAATACATGCAGGATGTTTACAGTGTATCTATGCAGATTATATCCTGTATGATGGTAACAATGCTATTCCACTGAAAGGGACACTTCTTCTCTTCCTGTCATGTATACAGCTCATACAACAGTATGACATCTGTGACACAATTTCCTTCTCTTTACCCTCTTTACTGGCTGAACTGAAATACATTTCCAATAGGGAAAAAACAGATTCTGTCACATCTGTGTTTGAAAACAATACAGACAAATACAGATGATTCTGAATTACTTCTCTGTGCATCCTTAAATAAATCTGTTACAGAAAACCAATCAACACAGTGGTACACCTGAGAGAGTGGATTTTAATCAGGTTGAAATTAATTTAGGATGTTTTTTCTATTTACTTTTTCAATAAAACAACAATTAAATATTTTTAGTAGTATAAATTTCATGTGGGAAATATTAATAGGTGGCATTTGGAAACTTACATAACATTTTAGACCAGATCATTTTTACACAATACCACTTTGAAATATCCCAATATAAAACATATTAAAATACTAAATTTTTTTAAACAATTTTGTAATGTAACATTGTAACAATTTACATTTGTAATAATCTGTGAACATTTTAGAATTACTCATTATGTTAAAGTAACAGTTAAGGTATAAATGTGAAGATAAGCATGCATTACTGTGTTAAGTTTGTAAGAAGGTGGTAAGTATGATCAGTCCATCCATCCATCCATCCATCCATCCATCCATCCATCCATCCATCCATCCATCCATCCATCCATCTATCTATCTATCTATCTACCTTCCAGCTGTTTATCCTGGGCAGGGTCATGGAGTGACACATGACAAAAGAAACAATAGGAGCTGTACAGCGGCACTACAGATCACTACAGCGGCAGTACAGGATCACTACAGCGGCACTACAGGCTCACTACAGCGGCAGTACAGGATCACTACAGCGGCACTACAGGAGCACTACACCGGCACTACAGGAGCACTACAGCGGCACTACAGGAGCACTACACCGGCACTACAGGAGCACTACACCGGCACTACAGGATCACTACAGCGGCACTACAGGAGCACTACACCGGCACTACAGGAGCACTACAGCGGCACTACAGGAGCACTACACCGGCACTACAGGATCACTACAGCGGCACTACAGGAGCACTACACCGGCACTACAGGAGCACTACACCGGCACTACAGGAGCACTACACCGGCACTACAGGATCACTACAGCGGCACTATAGGAGCACTTCACCGGCACTAAAGGAGCACTACACCGGCACTACACCGGCACTATAGGAGCACTACAGCGGCACTACAGGAGCACTACACCGGCACTACAGCGGCACTAAAGGAGCACTACAGGAGCACTACACCGGCACTATAGGAGCACTACAGCGGCAGTACAGGAGCACTACAGCGGCACTACAGCGGCACTAAAGGAGCACTACAGGAGCACTACACCGGCACTACAGCGGCGCTACAGGAGCACTACACCGGCACTACATGAGCACTACACTGGCACTACAGGAGCACTACAGCGGCACTACAGGAGCACTACACCGGCACTACAAGAGCACTACACTGGCACTACACCAGCACTACAGCGGCACTACAGGAGCACTACAGGAGCACTACACGGGCACTACAGCGGCACTACAGGAGCACAGCATGCACTTCTGCATGCACCTTTACAACAAGTCTCAGGGCCTCCCCCTGGTCTTGGGGAGCAGCCCGATGTGGGTGAAGATGTCTCCTCAGAGAGCTGTTTGCCTTGGAAGCTTTTCAAACCATGACTCAGAACCCCCCCCCCCCCCCCGGTGCTCTTTCAAAGTCAACTTTATTGTCATTTTGCACATGCACAGTAAATCCAGGCAGTAGGCTGTCACACATACTAATAGTTATATGATGGAGTATAATGCAGACGTCTTCATACTGGATATGATCATACTGAAACGGCTCATGAGTCTTCATGTGGGTTTGGATCCTGTGCCAGAGAATGTGGGCTCCAAACACGCATGTAAGGGCGCCACCTTCTTCATTAAGCGCAGCTCTGCAACCAGCAGATGCGGTGAATTACTGACTTGACTGAACACATAATGAAAAGGAAAAAAACAACATACAGACAAACTTCATAAATGCCCGTTAAATGCATATACTCTCGATCAAAGATACTCTTACTATTCTAAAAAGGGGGACTTACAATCTGAACCTTGTGAAAAGTTTTATGTGAATGCCACAATCACAAGTCATGTCAGCAAACAAATTAGCCCTAAACCCTCCTACAGAGCATTTGTTATTAGCCAGTAGTGCTAACTGGTAAAGCAGGAGCTTATCAGTAGAGATGCACGGGTCTGCATTACTTAGATTTTTTTGTACTGGTATAAAATACCAGCTTAGCTTTTACTCAGATGTCATTTGAATAATAGCTTTCTAGAAACTGCCCTTAAATATAGAAGGATCTTGGAAATAATTATTAGATCAAAAAATAGCTTGCAAAGCCAAGAACAAGCTGTACTATGAGCTTTGTGCTCTGAGTAAAATTATAGTCACTATACAAGGTGCTGTTTTCCAAATTAAATAAAGTTTGTTAAGAAATGTACCTTATATGTGGCACTAAATAAAACATTTGGGAACTTATATGACGTTTCGGCTAAATGGGTTTTCCAGAGTACGCTCTGGAGTATACCAGTATAAAATATTCTAATATAATACTGGTCAGTACCTCTACTGTGGCTATATCTGGAGGACCCAATTTGTACAACAAAGGCTTTTTCACCATTGTAACACTTGCATAAATAAAAGAATTGCCTGCAATAAATATATTGTATACAACTACTAGCGCTAGCTAAGTGTCTGCTGAACACCTGAGGTTCGTTCTCTGCCATTTGACCCTCATCGCTCGATTGCACGGAGCCATCGTGAACCTCAGCTACACACATGATGTCATCCATTGGGGTGGTGGTGGGGGGTGGGGGGCGTGGTCCAAAGAAGAGGTCACATAGCTAAAATGGCCCATACCTTTCTCTGTGGAAAAAACGACAGTCGAGCAGAACTTCCACAGAGCTCTCAGAATTAATGCCTTCACTGCGTTAAGCTAGTAAGAGGTCCAAAAATACATTTTTAAAAAAATGACATACATGCTTCTCCATACATTGTAAAAGAAGGATGTGGAGGAAAAAAAACAAATCAATACCACTGCCTGATGCTGTTTTTATGATTTCTGGATTGCCCAGGGTTGCCTCGGGTTTTCGAAAGCTCCTAAGGTATTCGTTATTATACGTTGTATAAATAGGGCCGGTGCGGCCGCCACTCGGTGGCGCTGGGGAATGCTTTGATGCACGGCTGCCTGGGCTGAGGCTTGGCCGGGACCGAGCGTGGGGCCACCGCAGCATGGTCGGCCCGCTGGCAGCCTTCGCAGGCCGGCTGCAGGCCCAAACGAGGCCTGCGGTGGGGTAACGTGGGCCCAGGTCGTCCTTAAAGCTACACCGGTCAGCCACACTAGCACATAAATACACCCAGCGGCTTCTGGGGGCCTGGGTACCAGACACTTTTCTGAACTGAATTCCATATATGAAACACAAGCCTGCAAAGCAGAGTTTACTGTATTAACATGTATGAGCTTTTGCATTGTTCTCAAAAAAGACTCACAAATACGTATGTTATGCATGGGATTTAAAATTCTAGAGACATTGTATTGTCTTATTGTAGTCAGTGCCTAATTGAAGCACCTTAATTTGTGTTTAATGTGTGTTTACTAGTTCCTGGAATGACATGCAGTGTAATCTTGTTATTGGACAGAGTAACTGACTGTTCACTGCACATATGGAAATGAACTTTTGTATTGTGCTTGATTTTAACGTTCATTTCAATAGGTGACACACTCAGAGAGGCACCAAGGTTGTCCAAGGCCTCCGGGGTTAGGCCTGACCCCGGCTCTGGTTCTGTGTCCATACCTGACATACTACGGGCCGCACCGCAAACAAGGGGGTCAGCGAGGATTAGTGACTGTATTTGATCTGGGCATAACCCACTGCCTCGGAGATTCCCAAGGGGAAGGTGAGATATCCGCTTCTGGGAAAAGGGAAATCGATGGTGTATCAAAGTGTGCATCCTACACGCCGCCGCGATTCGCTGTGCTCTGTTCAAGACGGCTTTCATTTTCCGCTGCCACTAACGTATCGACAGGGCTGTTATGTGCATGAGCTGTGAAGATTCATGTGCATCAACAGGAGTTTAAGAACAAAATCAATGATTCTCCATGCATATAAGATATAAACACAGCCATTTCTGACAAAGTAAGGGTTCAGACTAAAAATGGGTACTAGTAAAACTTAAGCTGAAGAAGATGTGTTTGATAGACTGGGTTCTCTTTAATGTTCCATAAACACGATTAACAGGCATTGTTTATGAGAGTACAGGCTCTGATTGGCTGCCCAGACGAAATACGAGCTCTGATTGGCTGCCTAGATGAATTACAAGTCACTCTATGATGAAATTAATTGGCGAGCAGTAACGGTAACAGCACGATATGTCAGTGAAAGCCTCTGGTAGAAATTACGCTAGCAAAAGGTAATTGATTCTGGGCTAACACACGGTTTCAGGTGAAAGCTTGATTACAGGAAGTTTATTAATGAACATCCATTAATCAGCACTGACAAGCTCTTTTCGAGTATTTGCGATTTGCGCTATTGGAGTTAATGTGTACATCTGATTCCACAGGCTTTCCTGGGCTTTGGCAGGGGGCTGGGCACTGAAAATCCCATTAGAAACAGGCACAAAGGAGAGGTGCAACATTCATGCAGTCACGACAGAATGGAAACTAATTATGCTCAATAAATGGTGCTCTAATTTAAAGAATACATGTGCGCTTGCAAAAGCATGCGGTAAATCTAGCTACAGAAAGGTGTCGAAAGCCAACAGATGTGCAATTT